CCCCACCAGCACAATTAGGCCATGACCATGCCCTTGAATGTTCTTGTTATACTTTCTTGAATGCATTTTCTTACATCATATTGTAATACTGTACAATGGCCACTAGATGGAGTCGAGGAGTACAGGAAATCAGTACACTGCCTGGCCCAAAAAAAGTTACCACCTGGATTTAGCTAAGCAGATAGGTCAGAACCTTCCACTGGATAATAGGTCTAAAGATTCAGCAATGTTATGTGCCCAAAAAATGAGGTCAGCTGCCTACCTGAATATACGGAATGATCAGGTTTTTCCATCAATGGGTTTTTTTCTTCCCTGATGGCACATTGGGCATATTCCAAGATGGCAATGCCAGGATTCATCGGGCTCAGATTGTGAAAGAGTGATTCAGGGAGCATGAGACATAATTGTCACACATGGATTGGTCACCACAGAGTCCAGACCTTAACCCCACTGAGAATCTTTGGGATGTTCTGGAGAAGACTTTACACAGTGCTCCAACACTCCCATCATCACTACCAGATCTTGGGGAAAAATGAATGCAACTCTGGAAGGAAATAAATGTTGTGACATTGTAAAAGATGACCAAAATGATGCTACGGCGGATGTGCGCCGAAATCGAGCCTGAAGGCGGTCCAATTAAATATTAGAGTGTGTGACTTTTTTTTGGACAGGCCGTGTATTTAAATAGCTAATCAGAACCTTCTCATAGATATCTCTACATCAGACCAAAAACAGGGACAACTGAGGAGGAGAGAGGGATGGGGGGTTTGGTTCCAAATGAGTGACTGTTGGGACGTAGGCAGTTAGGATCACCAGCAAGTTTCCTCCTTGACTACACACATATGGTCTGATGATACAATCTTCTGTACAAGGTAGCTGTGTAAAGTTTGGGTTGACCCCCACACTACCAAGTTGTTGGTAAATAGAGAGTGTTGCACAGAGATTGGACCTTCGGACTACGGATGAGCTCAGGTTCGGACTGAACGCGGTCCAAACCTGAGCTCCTTCCATGCCACCCAATCATTAACCAATGAAAGATGAATTTGGGTGGCTGTATCTTATTCTGAATGCATTTGCATGGCCAGAGATGGAGGGATGCTCTGATCATACCTGAACCCACCGCCGTCGATCACAAATGTTCAGTACCCGTTTCAGAGATTTTCCAGCAGTTTGGGATTATTTTATAATTGAAAGCTGTCACTTCCGTCCTCAGGTGGACTTATTTTTATTTTCATGTAGTGTAGCTAAAAGGAGAACTATGAGGTGAGTGCTTTTCACTCACCTCATAGTTCTAGCCGACCTGTGACAATGAGACTGTCACCGGTCGGCTCAGTAGATCGGGAGGTGAGCGAACAAATACCGGCGTTCGCTCACCTCTCGATCCTTGCAGCTTCCCCATAGATATCAAAAGATCTGTAAATAGATTATGCAGCTGTGTGGAGGGAGCAACGCACAGCCGCGCCATTTTCCAATGTCAATACCAGCCTGCAGGGAGAAGAAAAATGCAATTCAGGTATAATAAGTAGTGGGGGGTGGGGGAGGAATCAGCACCTCCTTCCTCCTGCTGGGATCCCTCTAGTGATAACTACAGATCTATATAGAGGAATCAGGACCTCCTTCCTCCTGCTGGGGATCCCTCTAGTGATAACTGAAGATCTATATAGAGGAATCAGGACCTCCTTCCTCCTGCTGGGGATCCCTCTAGTGATAATAAAGATCTATATAGAGGAATCAGGACCTCCTTCCTCCTGCTGGAGATCGCTCTAGTGATAACTAAAGATCTGTAAAGAGAAATCTCTGCTTGCATCTAAGCCTCATTCACAGTTCATTTAGAGGAAGTAGGGATCATATATTTGAATGGGGGCTGCAATAGCAGTGATCTCTAGCAGTCTCATTTAATGTGTCTCCAGACTGTAACTGTCTCCTGAAGGGTGTGCACAGTCTCCAACAACTATGGCATGTCTGCAGTCTGTAACCATCTCTTGTAGTATATCTGTAGTCTCTAAATATCTCTTGCAGCTTGCCTGAAGTCTGTAACCATCTTTTGCAGCACATCTGCAGTGTGTAACATTCTCTTGCATCATGCCTTTAGTCTCTAACATCTCTTATAACATGTCTGCAGTCTCTGACTATCTCCTTCAACATGCCTGAATGGAGAACTATGAGGTAAGGGCTTTTCACTCACCTCATAGTTCTAGCCGACCTGTGACAATGAGACTGTCACAGGTCGGCTCAGTAGATCGGGAAGTGAGCGAACACATACCGGCATTCGCTCACCTCTCGATCCTGTCACAGCTCTCTGCCGTGACAGGGGGAGGGGCTGGAATTCCCCCCTCCCCGCTCCGATCTGCCAGCGCTGACTGGCGGAACGGACGGGGGAGGGGGCAGGTACAGCTGGTTCTGCCTCTAGATAGGCAGAGCCAGCTGTCAGTCATGCAGCTGGGCGGATCCCAGCACAATTGTCGGGATCCGCTTCAGCTGCGGCGTCTTAGTATACCGCAAGCTGTAGCTCCCTATATACTGAGCTTAGGGTGACGGGAGGACGCTAGTTTGTGTCCTCCCGTTACCCTAAGGAGAACTATGGGGAAATGCCCTAACCCCATAGTTCTCCTTGAAGTCTCTAACCATGTCTTGAAGCATGTCTGAAGTCTGTGACCAACTCCTGCAGCACGTCTGCAGTTTCTAACCATCTCTTGCACCATGCCATAGTCTCTAGCCATCTTCTAGGCTGCCTGAAGTATCTAACCAACTCTTGTAGCATGGCTGAAGTCTCTGACAATCTTCTGTAGCACATCTTCAGTCTCAAACTATCTTTTGTAGCATGCCTGTCGTCTCTGACCATCCCCTGTTGCATGTCTGCAGTTTCTGATCATCTGTAGTAGCATGCCTGCACCCTCATGCCATATTCTCTTGCAGCGTGTCTGCAGTCTCTGAGCATCTCCTGTTGCATGTCTGCAGTCTCTGACAGCTTTCTGTAGCATCACATTCACTGGCTGTCACCTGCGACCCTTCGGGTGATTTCGGGGACCCCACTTGATTGCATCTCTGACACCCCTGTTCTAGGAGAGGCATCCAAGGGAGCTGAGAGCAACTTGCATCCCCTGAGCCACGGACTGGAAATGAATGTCGGTGACTCTCAGATGGATTCTCCTGATCTTTCCGCACAGCGTCCATGGAAAGTTCCGCGCTTCACCGTTCCCCGGTCCCTTCCTGTGCAGCATCTTTCTATATTAAACCCATATCCCCCCCAGACCAGATCTTTCAAATCATTGCCCGCTGCCCATCTCCGGAGAAACTCTCTGCGCACAGCGCAATGTGTCTTTTAGCGACCCCCC